ATGAAAGACAAGGTGAACCACAGAACTGATGAAAGGTGAATGGTGCTTTGAGGAATCTGTGGAGACAAATAACGGTATCAATGGAAGCATTATTATTGTAATAAAAATGAAACTCTAAACCTACAAGGGTCATACAGTATCAATGGAAGCAAAAAGGGGAATGCATGAGAGTATTGTGGTATCAATGCTCCCATATGACCCCTGGCAGTCTTCAAGCTGGCACTGGACAAGCACCTAAAGTCGGTTCCTGATCAGCCGGGCTGTGGCTCGTACGTTGGTTTGCTTGCAGCCAGCAGTAACAGCCTGGTTGATCAGGCTCTGATCCACCAGGCGGCCTGGTCACAGACCGGGCCGCGGGGGCGTTGACCCCCGGAACTCTCTCCAGGTAAACTCCAGATATGGATGTGAAGCATGGGTTGTGAATGTTGCAGCAGGAGGAGGCTGGAGACAATGGAGATGACTTGTCTGAGGGCAATGTGTGGTGTGAATATTATGCACAAAATTCGTAGCTGGGAGATCAGGGGGAGGTGCGAAGTTTCTAAAAGTATTATCCAGAGGGGTGAAGAGAGGTTGCTGAGGTGGTTTAGACATTTAGAGAAGCTGGAGAAAAATAGGATGACTTGGAGGGCATATAAAATTGCAGTGGAGGGGAGGCAGGATAGAGGGGGTAAAGGAGGTTTTGTGCAAGAGGCTTAGACATCCAGCAAGCATGTGTGAGTGTGTTAGATAGGAGTGGAGGCAAGTGGTTTTTATGATGATGTGCTGTTGGAGTGCGAGTAAGGGACATGGGAGTAGTAATGTCTGAGGATCTCACTTTCAAGGATCACAACAGTGCCACGATCGCACGTGCAAAGAAAATGATAGGATGGATAATGAGAACGTTCAAAACGAGAGATGCCAAGCCAATGATGATCCTTTTCAAATCACTTGTTCTCTCTAGGCTGGAATACTGCTGTACATTAACATCTCCATTCAAAGCAGGTGAAATCGCAGATCTAGAGAATGTACAGAGATCCTTTACTGCACGTATAAGTTCTGTCAAGCACCTTAACTACTGGGAACGCTTGGAAGCACTTGACTTGTACTCGTTGGAACGCAGGAGGGAGATATATCATAATCTACACTTGGAAAATCTTGGAAGGAATGGTCCCAAATCTGCACACAGAAATCACTCCCTACGAAAGTAAAAGACTGGGCAGGCAATGCAAAATGCCCCCAATAAAAAGTAGGGGCGCCATTGGTACACTAAGGGAAAATACCATAAGTGTCCGGGGCCCAAGACTGTTCAACAGCCTCCCATCAAGCATTAGGGGAATTGCCAATAAACCCCTGGCTGCCTTCAAGAGAGAGTTGGACAGATACCTAAAGTCAGTGCCGGATCAGCCGGGCTGTGGCTCGTACGTTGGACTGCGTGCGGCCAGCAGTAACAGCCTAATTGATCAGGCCCTGATCCATCGGGAGGCCTGGTCATGGACCGGGCCGCGGGGGCGTTGATCCCCGGAATTTCAGGGACAATTTACAATGCAAAATGTCCAACGTTAAGTAGCATTTGCTGTCCAGATAATTGTATTTTGTAGCTATAGAAAATATTCACATTATTATTATTATTATTATTATTATTATTATTATTATTATTATTATTATTATTATTATTATTATTATTATTATTATTATTATTAGCTCGCTAGGCTCGCATCTGAGAGAACGTGGGGTCGATCCAAAATGAAAATAAGTCACTTTGTGTGACCCTTTCGGGTTATCCTAGGTAATTTACACATATGTTACTAGTAAGGTGTGATACTTGTACCTGTACTTAAATAAACTTATTCCCAATACGAGGTGAGATGTATGGACAAGTTTCTTTATACAAGCAATGGCCAGGATTGTTCACCTGCCTCCCAGTGTATATAATGGGGATTACTAGTCCTAAATCTGCACATGGAAATCACTCCCCGCGAAAGCAAAAAACTCTGCAGGCGGTGCAACATCATCCCAAAGAAAATCATGGGTGCCATGAATACACTAAGAGACAACACATTAAACGTCAGGGGCCCAAGACTGTTTAACTCCCAGCATACATCAGGGGAATTACCAATAGACCCCTGGCTGTCTTCAAGAGGGATCTGGTCAGACACCTAAAGTCGATACCTGACAAGCCAGGCTGTGGTTCGTACGTCGGTTTGCATGCGCGCCAGCAGTAACAGCCTGGTTGATCAGACTCTGATCCACCGCGAGGCCTGGTCATAGACCGGGCAGCGGGGACGTTGGCTCCTGAAACCCTCTCCAGGTATACCTATTGCCTCTGTTACTTGGAGAGTGTTCCGGGAGTCAAACGCTCCTGCGGCCTTGTCCATAACCAGGCCTCGCGGTGGATCAGGGCCTGATCAACAAGGCTGTTACTGCCGGCCGCACGTTAACCGACGTACGAACCACAGCCCGGCTGGTCAAATACTGACTTTCGGTATCTGACCAGATCCCTCTTGAAGACAGCCAGGGGTAAGTAAGTAAGTAAGTTTATTCAGGTATACACAAATACAGTTACATAGATTATTATACATAGCAACATATGTGTAGAGAACCTGGGATAACCCAAAAAAAGTCAGACAGAGTGACTTATTTCCATTGGGGTTCCATTGGTAATCTCCCTGATGTATGCTGGGAGGTAGCTGAACAGTCTTGGGCCCCTGATATTTACTGTGTCGTCTCTTAGTGTATTCATGGCACCCACGATTTTCTTTGGGATGATGCTGCACCACCTGCAGAGTCTTTTGCTTTCGCAGGGAGTGATTTCCGTCTGCAGATTTAGGACTAGTTCCTCGGGGATTTTCCAACAGCAATTAAGTTCATTTAGGTGCAGGTATACATGCGTACAGTTATCATGCATAGTAACAAATGTGTTATATTATCTAAGATAACTCAAAAAAGAGTCAGTTAAAGTCTTCAAGCTGGCTCTCACCTTCAAGGACCATAACATTGTATCAATCGCATCTGCTAGAAAAATGACAGGATGGATAATGAGAACCTTCAAAACTAGGGAGGCCAAGCCCATGATGACACTCTTCAGGTCACTTGTTCTATCTAGGCTGGAATATTGCTGCACACTAACAGCACCTTTCAAGGCAGGTGAAATTGCCGACCTAGAAAATGTACAGAGAACTTTCACGGCGCGCATAACGGAGATAAAACACCTCAATTATTGGGAGCGCTTGAGGTTCCTAAACCTGTATTCCCTGGAACGCAGGAGGGAGAGATACATGATTATATACACCTGGAAAATCCTAGAGGGACTAGTACCGAACTTGCACACGAAAATCACTCACTACGAAAGCAAAAGACTTGGCAGACGATGCACCATCCTCCCAATGAAAAGCAGGGGTGTCACTAGCACGTTAAGAGACCATACAATAAGTGTCAGGGGCCCGAGACTGTTCAACTGCCTCCCAGCACACATAAGGGGAATTACCAACAGACCCCTGGCAGTCTTCAAGCTGGCACTGGACAAGCACCTAAAGTCAGTTCCGGATCAGCCGGGCTGTGGCTCGTATGTTGGTTTGCGTGCAGCCAGCAGCAACAGCCTGGTTGATCAGGCTCTGATCCACCAGGAGGCCTGGTCTCAGACCGGGCCGCGGGGGCGTTGACCCCCGGAACTCTCTCCAGGTAAACTCCAGGCACTGGACAAGCACCTAAAGTCGGTTCCTGACCAGCCGGGCTGTGGCTCGTACGTTGGTTTGCGTGCAGCCAGCAGCAACAGCTTGGTTGATCAGGCTCTGATCCACCAGGAGGCCTGGTCACAGACCGGGCCGCGGGGGCGTTGACCCCCGGAACTCTCTCCAGGTAAAACTCCAGGTCCAGGTCCCGTACTCGATTGGTAGCGCATTCAGCTCACACACTGAGGTCCAGGGGGTCGATCCTTGGTACGGGTGGAAACATTAGGATGTGTTTCCAAAAGACATTGCTGTCCATATTCACCTATCAGTAAAATAGGTACCTGGGTGTTAGTCGACTGGTGTGGGTCGCATCCTGGGACAAAATTGACCTAATTTGCGGGATATGCTCTGCATAACAAGGGGCTTTCTAAATAGTAGTATGTCATTGATGTCAGATAGGCTTGTATATATACTTGTAGAAATAGATTATTATTATTATTATTATTATTATTATTATTATTATTATTATTATTATTATTATTATGATTTTTATTAATATTATCATACCCGGGCCTTAATCGACTGTTGTTGGTCGCATCCTGGGGAAGGATCTTAAAAATTATGAAAATAAGCCATAATGATAGGCTGCATTATTGGGTGATCCAGGGTTGCTGATTCACTGGGTTTAAGTTGAGAATAAGGAGATGCTATTTTATTTTCCAAAAAGTACATTATTTTTAACAAGGTTGTGTTAACAATTGAATTGTTTGTTACCTTTTCGGAAAAAGCAATAGTTATATGTGCAACATTTCTGTCAGACTTAGTGTTTAAAACAATGTAATTAAAGTTATAAAGTTGAAACTATAATAGTTGAGATGATGTCGTAAATACAATTTAGGTATTTAAGGACATTGAATATTAACAGGTAAATTAACATGAAAATAAGTTTTCTATTTTTAACATAGACATGTACGCATGGGGGTGTACTTGTGTACTCAAACACCTATAAGTGTGCTCACCAGCTAGTGTGAATTTGCGTGCGTTTCGTGCATAATATTGTGTATATGTGTGTTGTGTGCATGTGTGTGTGCGTGCGTGTGCGTGTTATGTGCGTGTGGAGGGTGGAGGAGGCCGGCCCTCACCCCCGCTCCCGACAGATGGCAGCACCACCATGGCGGAGGACCAGGTACGCATCAAAACAATCTTATTTTTATCTCACACACTTCATTTTATGAATGAATAACCTTGTATTTCACCCACAGCCCGAAAGCCTCACCGTCAGCGAGCTTGTTTTTTTGATTTTGCAAAAATCGATGAATGAAAAGGCAGTTAAATCTGAAGACGAAGAAGGGTAACCCGTGTCGTCATAGATGTTCAACTTGGTGTGTCTGCACTTGCCGTGACAGCCTGTTGTTTGGTGCCATAACTGGCAGCATTGGCGCCAGAATAGAAAGTGGCACCGAGAGACGGCTCTGACAAGGGGTAGTCTATGTATTAAGGGTAATCAGAGCAAGGGACAAAGTGCCATAGTCCAGTGGTGCCCACATTTTGATCACTTGTCTGACCGGAGCTGCCCTCCTCAGGAGACCATCTTAATGATCTATGCAATTTGCTGCCTCCGGATTTACTATGGTAATGCCTACATGCCATAATAATTACGCTGTAGTCTACAGTGAGGGTCCTGGGGTATATTGAGGGCCGGTAAGGTGAAGAAATAAGAGTCTGAGAGTAGGAAGACTGTTTTGTTTTGTGTTGCTGCAAGCTGCAACTTGTGTATGTTGATGCTTCCATTGGCACTTTTGGCACACCCAACCTCGTGTGTATTTTCTGGAGTAGTTCATTTGTCTTGTTTCCACTCCTTGTGCAGTTTGGGTAGGAGACTGAAATATTGATGTTAGCATTTTAGTTGAAAAGAGGTAGAAATGAAGTAAGGGTGAATATGGGCTAAGTAAAATGACAGGTTACATGGAATACAAATAAATGACAGGTTACATGGAATACAAATAAATGACAAGTTACATGGAATACAAATAAATGACAGGTTACATGGAATACAAATAAATGACAGGTTACATGGATTACTGGGTCATAGTATTATTAGACCATAATAACAAAGAAATACTTCAGTAAGCCTATTGGCCCATGTAAGAAATCACAATCACACTATTCCTACTCATATATATTAAGCTTCCAGTTTGTCCAATTGTAAACCAATGCTTTTCTGTTTCATTTCTAAATAAATTAATTCATTTTGACTGTTTCTAATTCTTTTATTTTCAGCCTATTTATCTCTATTTTTATCTTCTGTTTGTTTACTTACAGCATGTGCTGTCTTGTTCATTAATTTCCATAATAAGATTCAGTTCTAGTAATTAAATTTTATAACATTTTTTTTATACAGGTGATTAACTTTGTTATTCTTCTCTGTGTTTTCCAGCACATTTATGTCCACTCCTGAATAAGGCCAGAACAGCACCTTGTAGTTTATACAAGGACTTCTCAGTTTCTGATAGAGGTTTATTATGATAGTCTAAAATATTGGCTTTTTTGTTCCTTATTCTTTCTGATATAAAGCCAAGCAGTCATTTAGAATCATTGCAAACACTGTAGCCTTGGCTTCAGGCTTCTGCTAACTAGAACACTTATCTGTTTTGCATTTGGTTTAATTATACAAGTTCTCATTTACAGTATTTGTATGTGGTGTAGGTTTTTCTTTACCCAGTAGTGGGATCATATATTTGTCCCAGAAATAGGTCTCCCGGTAATATATTTGTCTAACCTTGAATGAGTGGAAACTTTGGACATGTTTCCTTACACCTGTTGCTATTTTCACTTACAGTCAGTAGGTACCTGTATGTTAGCTGATTGTTGTAGGTCACATCCTGGGAAAGAGTATCAAAAGATTCCAGAGGAAATAAGCCACACAGATTGATTTCTTAGGTTACCCTGGGTTACTAATCCTCCAGGTTAATGTTACAAGTAAAACCCTCTAATGTCCTCAAAATTTGTTAATTAACTTTTGGTGTTGGCAACTTTTATGAATTCGTTTTCCTTTAGGTCGTTATATAGGCACATCGTACAGTATGTAAAAGTAATGACACTGCATATAAGACATACATTTTAAATGAATAATTTAAAAATTGCATAGATGTGTAAATGTTGCTTGTAAAATCTAACGAACTAAATCACATGTCATCTGTCTTCATTCTTGTATAATTTATATTTCTTATAAGTTACAGATACAATTGGAAATGGTACATACTGTGATGATATTTAATCATTTATTCTGATGTGGGGAAAGCTGGTGATATCTATGACATCCCTGTACTGTGTTAGTTTAAAAATTTCAGGATTGTAGAGCATTAAAAACTGAATATTCATAACTATAAGTATGTAACCGATAAACAAGGAAGTCTTACATGTTTAAGGGTATATGAAGACTGACAAATTGAATCATAGTACAGTAGTGTTTGGTGCATCCACTAAAACAAATTTTCACAAAATGTGAATGTACAATGTTTGGTATATAAAGTTCGGCTTTGATGGAGCCAAATCAGCAGTTGGTCACCAACTGCTGATTTGTCTCAATCAAACAAATTTGAGTCTTATGCATAAACATAAAATATGAATGCATTTGGTGAAAAAAAAAATTAATGGAGAAAAAATTATGTTTGGAAAATTATTTCACACTGAATGTTTGCAGTGTTCGTATATTTAGATTGTTGTTCATAAGAAATTTAATTGGATCCATGTGACCCCATTGTAAGTGTGGATGTTTGTAATTCAGATGATAGTTAAACAGGAGCCTTTTGTTCTGTGCAATACAGTATGTATATACTGTATGACCATATGTAATTTTCATATTTTTTCTATATCTCTTTCCCCTCAAGGAAGGTTCCTTGATGTTGGTGAGGGGCTCTTGATTTAGGGAATTGGATCTGTGCTCCAGTTCCCCAAATTAAGCCTGAATGCCTTCCACATCCCCCCCCAGGCGCTGTATAATCCTCTGGGTTTAGCGCTTCCCCCTTGATTGTAATAATAATAATCTATATCTCTTTATTATAGTACTACCCCCGCAATGGAGGTTCCTTGATTCTGGTGAGGGGCATTTTTTTTTTTTATTAATTCTAGGATTTATTTTATAGCATGATTTTTACTTTTCTGAAATAGTAGAGAATATTTTTCTGGAGGTGATTACTCTAAAAATAAAAAAAATGAGGGAAAACTTAGAATTATGCAGGCATAAAGTTAGCAGTCTAGACCCAATTTACACATCAGCTATTTCACCCACCTTGCTTCCTATTTTAAGATAATTCCATTGTTCAATTTGACCAAATTCGTAGCTCTTATACGAGTGTGCCTTTCAGTCTGTCGATTTAGCACAAGAAACTGCTCATGCAGCTATCAGAACTACACAGTAAACTGCACATGTGCAACATCTGGGTATCTTCATTGGAGATGTTTTGCCATCTAGTGGCTTCATCATTACAGATTCTAGGACATAACTTGAAGACAATAGAACTATTTACAAAAGACGAAGTAATCGGCCTTGGAGTTGATGTGAAGAACACTGTAGTTGTGGAGATTCTGGAGCATAGACAAGGAGGCTGGTGCTTACATAGGCATCAGGTAAATAGGAATGGGTAGGAGACGAAGGCATAGTCACTGGTAGGCGGGATTTCCCAAAGGGATAGGTTAGTTGTAGTTGTAGCAGCCTAGAATCTATATTAATAAAGCCACTGGATGGCAAAATGTCTACAGTAAAGATACCCAGATGTTGTACACGTGTCTTAACTTTCATGTCGTTGGTATTGTCTTGCACAGTAAAATGCACAGAGGTCGGAAATTTGGCCAGTTTTACACAAAATAAAAAATAAACAGTTTAGTAGCAGAGTTCACAATAAAACACCGTAAACATTCAGTGCACTAAAGTAGCATTTTCTGTTTATTAATCACATCCCAAATCTCTTCCATATTGCACCTGTCCTCCATTTTGAATTCATCATCTCACAAAAAAAAATTGATTTACACTATTTCTTGGATAATAAAATATAACTAGGAATGATTGGTCATGGTTTATGGTATCTCAATAATTGAATCAGACCTAGTAAAAACCCCTTAAACAGACTAGAGGGGTGTGGGCGAGTCTTTATTTGTCCTCCGGAAATTCATCAAAAGTCAAATATTTCCGTTACTTTGAGCCCAATTTCAATCTACTTCTGGTCCTGAAACCAACTAAAGTCATCTACAATTCATTACTATATCTTCCATTCTATCAAGTGATACCCAGAAACAGCCAGTAAAACATAAAAACCATCCTAGAAAACACCTTAAAGTTGCTGCTTTAAACCAACACATGGTCAGAATTTTTCTCTTCTCATCATGCACTGCATGGGGCAGAATTTTTTTATACTGTGCACACGTACTGCACAAACCTGTTGCCTTGTATCAAATTTACTGCATGAATCTTATCTGAGGGATAATAAATCTATGTAAGCAACCCTGGTGTTAATAACGAAGATCGACATAAAAAGTCAGTGACTGGGTTGATATGAATCCTAAAAATTCTAGAAAAATTACTTCACTGTATACAGTACAAAGATCTTTCACTGTTAGGAGGGATGTAAACCTCTTAACCCTTTGACTGTTTTGGTCATATATATTTGTCTTAGGCGCCACTGTTTCAGATGTATTAATACGCGTAAATTCTAGTGGCTTCAAATCAAGCAGGAGAAAGCTGGTAGGCCCACATGTGCGAGAATGGGTCTGTGTGGTTAGTGTGCAGCATATAAAAAAAATCCTGCAGCACGCAGTGCATAATGAGAAAAAAAAATGACCGTTTTTTTGGATTAAAACGCCGACTTTGAGGTGTATTTTCGTATAGTATTTATCATTGTATTCTCGTTTTCATGCTCTCACGTGATAAAACGGAAAACACACTACAGAAATAGAGATAATTTTGATTAGTTTCATGATGAAAACGACCTTGAAATTGAGCTCAAAGTAGCAGAAATATTCAATTTTTACCAGTGTTCAGGAGTAAGCAAATCGCACCACACGTCCAATACACGTCAACTGGGGAGTCTAATATTCTTTCACTAGTGCACTGATATTATTTATACCATTTTCACAATAATGCATTAGTCTGCATAACAGTAAATTTTGTATTTTTTGTATGATTAAAAAATCAAAATAGAAAGCAATAGTAATATAAGAGGGGCATAGAGACATGACTAATGAACAGAGGATATGTTATTTTAGTGCCAAGAATGTCTACATTGTTTATTCTGGACCCTATTTTGAAATTGGCATCTTTTTTAATTTGCGTGAAATTAGCCAAATTGCCAATTTCTGATCATTTTATTGGGTAGTTCAAATTGGTAAATGGGTAGTTTCTTGTACTCAACTGATGGAAAAGTTTGAGTTCTAAAGAAATAGCTGTGAGTTTGGTCAACTGGAACAACGGAATTGGCCAAAAACAGGGCTCAGTCAGCGAAATCGCCGATGCGTATATGTCGGGAGCGTAATTCTGTGAGTTTTCGACCAAATTTCATACTTTTGATGTCGTTACCATTGGTAAAAAATTCTCTATCATTTCATAAGAAAAACTAATTTTTTTTTTTCCAAAAATTTTGCAACATAGAATGACAGTTTCAGAAAGGGGCTTGCGACAGTCAAAGGGTTAAGTATGGTTTTATAATTTATATGTAGATGAGATAACTTTCATCTAAATTCTAAAGCAGTAGGATTAAAAGATGTTGGAGTTGATACAAAGTATTAGTTATTCAAGTTCCTTGATGCTGATTACACTTCTTTTAGGGGATTCTAAATATCAGATTGGGGGAGGGAGTACAGTATGGAGGAAATGGATTTTTTTAGATATTTGGGAGTGGACATGTCAGCAAATAGGTCTATGAAAGCTAAAGTGGACCAAATACAATAGATGTAGAAAAAGGTGGGTGGAATGTTTTGTGTGTGTTGCAAGTACATGTATATGGAATAGGCAGTAAGTTACTAAATGCTGTTAAGAGTTTTTATGAGGATAGTGAGGCTCAGGTTAGGGTGTGTAGAAGAGAGGGAGACTACTTCCTGGTAAAAGTAGGTCTTAGACAGGGATGTGTAATGTCACCATGGTTGTTTAATATATTTATAGATGGGGTTGTAAAAGAAGTAAATGCTAGGGTGTTCGGGAGAGGGGTGGGATTAAATTATGGGGAATGAAATTCAAAATGGGAATTGACACAGTTACTTTTTGCTTGAAAATGTGCTTTGGGAGATTTAAAAAAAAAATTTCAAAGGTTT